TGACAAATCTGTATTAAATAAAATGATTCCTTTCAAACACAGCAGGACCTACCACCTATAAACCCACCTAAATAAACAAATAAGGCTTAAAATACTGTAGTTCATCTTCCTTTAATATACAGCTATTTGAAGAGCTAGTGCTTTTACTAACTCCTATAAAAGACACAATTGTGAGGAAGGTAACTAGTAAAACACGGCACTGTGGAGGAATTCTGTGGCCAGGCAAGACCCAGGCAATTTTGCCTATTTTTTCCATCAACAGTTAGTCAAAGTCTTTGGGAGAATCTATAAAAAAAAATTAAGGCAGAAGATCTACCTTATTCTTCATCTTGTAGGCTTATCAAGAATGAATGTGCTTATGGGCTCTTTCAACCCTGATTCTCTGTGAAACACAATTTTGTGCAAGAAGTAACTCAGAAATTTTACCCACAACATTAAAAATGCTGGCTTTGCTAGATTTTCTTTTGTTTTGATTTCTCCCTGTCAGGATAACCTTGTGGGTTCTAGATAAAATGGCATTATTTCTTTATCAAAGACTTTGCTGCATAAGCTCGGTTGATAGCCATGGGCTACTAACAACCTTCACCTCCTTTTCTTGTCCTACTGACTTAGTGAAGTGGAGCAGAGAATTGTCCCTTCTTCATGCATGAAAGGTCACAAAAGCAGTCAGCCTCCTCCTCATTCTGTCAGTGATTTACAAATGTGGTGTGTATGTGTAAGGAGCTTATGCTCTATCCTTTAATTCTAGCTCTAGTGTTAACATGGCCTTTTAAGAGAGAATTGGCAAGTGTTTTAAAATGGATGAAAGAGGCATTGAAGAAAGTTGGCATTATTATGACTTTCCTAGATTTATTTTGTTGTGCATTTCTTCTTCCAAGGGCAATCATTTTACATTATTTTTCCAAAGGAGGGATTCCAAAATATGGTACTTCTATAATCCTATTTTCATTGTCAAAAATTGGGAACTCTTCTGTTATTCATACATATTCAAATACATATATAGTACATACATATATAAACATATATATTCATAGATGCTGTCATTGATGGAAGGTAAATGGAAGGAAGACTCCATCAGGATAATCTATTAGGAAATATTGGATATTGTTTATAGCAGCATTAAGGATGAATTGTTCTGAATAAAGGCAAATATATATGTCTCAGGATAATGTTGAGGATCCAATCTGGGTTGGTCACCAAGACCAGAGGTTTAGGATTCTGAACTTTTGGAATCTACCAGTTCCCCTGTGACTACGTAGGACAGATGGGGAGGAAGCTAACCACTAGGTTGCAAAAGTACAAGTGAGTGGTCAGATGAGAACTCATTGGTAGCCTCACATTGCAATGAACAAGGACATATATTCAGTTTCACAGCTACTAAAATTGTTGGCCGGGCAGGTACAAAAATAGCCAGGGAAATGATTGAAGCCTGGGAAGCAGGCCCCTGGTCAATCAACAGGAGTGCTGATTTACCATCAACTTATCAAGTACTTAGGAGCCAAGATTTGGTAGCACAAGGAAGCAAATAGCCAAAAATGTAATAACTGGCCATCAACTCCCCAATCAACAATTAAAAAGCCATACACAACCAGGCAGCACATAAATACTATGGATAGAATTCCTCAAAGCACATATTCTGGTGAGAGAGAAGTTCCCTGAGGATGGGCTGAAAGCTCAGAAGACTAAAACTTTGATCCCGGTGACTGACCCAGATTGGATCCTGCATGAATTGTTTCTTTTTACTAGCATAATTTGTATAATGCTTTAATCAAAGCTTTGCTCATTTTCATTATGTTTAAAATATCTTCACAACTTTAGTTCAAGTATCACTTGAATGGCAAAATGCACAACTAACAAAAAGATAAAGTGCTAAAAGTACCTTGAGGAAAGTTGGAAGCAAACTTTACAACAACTTCAAGAAGTAAATAATTAGAGGTTTGGCATTAAGAGCAACAGGAAGAAATTAATGCCTGTTGTAGTCATAGATACAAATTTGCTTGATTCTGAAGCCCACTGAAATGATAGATCAGAATTTACTCTGCAAATGTACATTTTGCAAATGAAGAGTGGAGGCTAGGAGGAAGAAATCATACATAACTTCTATTTCTCAGGATGCCCCTATAAATAAAGAATTAGGGTGATAGGGCTGAGTGTAGCATTTTCTGAAAAATGTCACCAAGCTCCTCTTCAACATTAAATCATCCTGGGCTTAATAATTATCTATTTAAAGTACAGCAATATCTTCATACCTTTCTATACCCTGTGTTATAAATTGGGATAAGTGGAAATTTAAGCCTTTCTCATAAATCTCTTTTTTTCAAGGATTCTCCACAGAATAATACCCTACTAGTAGAGATGCTTCCTAGGTTGTCTAGTTGTGGAGTTCTTAAGTCTTTTCCCTCAGGACATCTTCCTTCAGTCTAATTCTAGGAAAATAATTAAAATGATATTTGGATCTTGCTAGCCAAAGCCCAGAGATATAGAACTTAATGTTTGTTTGTTTGTTTGCTCCTTCTCTGAGCAATTCTCATTTTTATAAAATGTTGAATGGAAGCCAGCTTCTGGGGAAAGAGAGTTGCTTGATCTAATTACTGATAACACTCACTGATATCCTAAATCTAGTCAGCAAATTGGAAATTTTCTAGGAGTTAAACCAATGCTCCTCATTATTTTTGATTCTTTTCTAGGGGTTAAACCAGTGTTCCTCATTATTCTATAATATTCTATTATAAAGGTGCAGCTTGGTTTATGCCAGTTCGGCCTTTATTTGAATGAAATTACACAGGAAAGTCTCTTGTATAAAACATTCTATCTTTTCAGGCATTCATCTGGGGACACACTCGTGCCTTGCCAAAATTAGGTATTCACCACAGAATGTGCAGGGCGGAACCATTTAGGTTCCTCTTATTATTTAGCTGGAGGTAAAATGTGATGCCATGTTGTTTATTCCTTCAACAATGGATAGATTTACTAAACAAATCCCATTACTGCTTGCTAGTAAATGCAGTTAAAATAATACAATACTGGCCACGTTTTTTATAACAAATTCATACTGATGGCTTTACTATCAGGGCAAAAAACATCTAACTCATTGCAACAGTCAGCTTGTCCTTTTGCAGTCTTTTTCTCTGAAGACTACCAGTTTGGACTTGTCCTCGTTAGTAAATCAGCTACAGGAAAGGCTCCATTATTATGCCATGTCAGATCAGTGAGAAACCAGACTTTGAGATAGCAGACTACTTCACCTCATTTTGTTTAAAAACTGGCAAGCAGAAGGAGAAAAGGAATCCCTCTCTCGAGTCAAACATTCATGTTTGATTCACATCACCAGCAAACCAAGTGTAAAATCAATTGCAAGGTCATTAAACAAAGTGAGATAAAAGTTTAAAATTGCTTTTAAAGCATATTCCTTGGAATATATAAGAAACCTAGAATGGCTGCATCCACAGAACCATGCTTAATCAAGATCAGCAAAAAACCTAGTGGTTTAATTCTTCAGTATACTATAACTAAGCTTGTTTAACTTGAATCTTATTATGTGTGTGGCTTAGCCTGATGTGCAAACCCAGGACTTTGATTAGCCAATGATTCAATGTATTATGTAAACCTAGAAATTTCAGTGCTCTAGTTAAGTGTGTTGGGCATACTTAGCCAACACAAAAAGATAAGAGAAACAGGATCATAAATTCACGACATATATTTAGGGCAGTTGTTAGCAAGGAAATTATTGTGTGATTGGGTAGCAGTCTCTAATAAATGGATTTCAAGTATCCTTGTGTACAATGTATCTTCCAAAACCATCTGTTGAAATAATGGGGTATAGATTGCATGTTGTCTTTATCATCTTTGTCAATCATCTCAAAACTGAATTCATATTTTGTTTTATGTCATTGTTTATTTAGCTATGGTTTATTCAATAAACCAATTGGTTTGCTTCTCACATTACATTCCAACCATGCAATCTGCACATTGCAAAAGATTATAGGTTCAATCATCATGCTAAGCCAAGTAGAAACAAACAATCCTTGGTTGATGCTTGAACTCAGCCTATGAATTAGATCACCATTCAAAATGCTTAGGGATCTCTTCAAAGCCAAAAAATATATAGCATAATGAAAAATGGACATGATTTCTTGGTGATGTTCATTATTGCATGATTAGAAAAACTATAGCTCTTGTTTGATTTGTAGCCTTAGCTGTATGATGTGGTTTGAGACAATATGTTTGACTTAATTTGCTACTACCTTGGGCTGAGGGCATAATTCTTCTCTTGCTTTATTCTTTGGTGGAACTGATGTGACTCCTACAACACTGTTCTTTTTGTTACTGTCTATATTTGAGCCAAAGTCCTTGAAAACATGTCAGGAAGAGGTCAAATTCACCTCTTGTTAGAGTACTACATAGGTAAATGTGCTTCAGCAGCAACCCTCTGGGAAAGATGCCTTTAATAATATGCTCAGTCAGGCCTAAGCCTGAACCTACTTTAAGCTTTTATCCAGAGCAGCTGAGCTTTAGGGCATATATAGATTACGAAGCTAAATGGACCATATGATTATGCTGGCCAAATTTTGAAAATCCAAAGGAAGATTTAAGTTCCTTCTTCTGTCCTTGAAACCCTTTTCTTTACCTATTGAAGCTGAAATTAAAGCCTAGAAAACCAAGTAGAACCTAGTTATTTAAGTAAACCTTTGTAAGGATCTGTTCATGGAATAACATAGGTAGTTTCTGCTTTTGTGTTTCAAGGATCAGCAATAAGTCCAAAGCTATGGACAGTAACCAAAATAAAAGCTTTCCTGTATCTATTCAGGTTGCTCTGAACAAATAATTGCCAGAACAGAGTGTGCTTCTTTTAAAGCAGCCATTTCATCCTAATGGTTTAATTTTTGACCTGGCGATCCAACAAGTCAGAAAACCTGTTGTGTCTTCCAGAATCTAAGAGCCTACCGTCCACAGCAAAAAATATAATATCCCCTTTGCTGTCTTCTTCTCTTGCAGCTTGGATCATGGGGAGCAGTAAAAGTAAACCCAAAGACCCTAGCCAACGGAGACGCAGTTTGGACTCCACAGAAAATATACATGGCAGCTGCTCTACCTCTCAAACGCCCAGCAAGACTACCATCCCAGAAACTCATCGTACTCCTAGTCGGTTATTTGGAAATACAGCTACAGAACCAAAGCTCTTTGGGGGATCAAATACATCAGATATGGTCACTTCTCCTCAGCGCTGTGGCGCCTTAGCTGGTCAGTATGTTTTCTGTCACAGGAAGAACTTTAAATGTAGAACTATTTTGGTCATCTGAAATATACTTCGTTTATGTCTAAAACTGAGGCTTACGGTTAGGGTTAAGAGGATGCAGTGATCAAAAGTTCACGTGATTTGCTTTATTAGGGCTGCGCAAGCCAACACAGTTTGTCGTTGGATTGTATCATGTAAAACAAGATTACATCATGGAAAAAAAGCAAAATGCTCTTCCTTGGCAGCTCCAACTGAAATGTTGTGGCAAACTCCATCTCTTTTCCCAGATTTTTTGTTTTGGTGGAAATGTCTTCTGCACAGATGCCAGCATGTGCAGAGGACAATTGAAGCCAGTGAAGCAGCTGTTTTGATATAGTGCATTGGATCTACTGTAGTGTCTAGAAGAAGAAAGTTTTTCATTTTGTGGAACTGCATCAAAGGGTTTCTTTGTTAATGGCTGAATTAATGTGAAGTGCACTTTCAAGGCTTCCCCATGGTTTCTTCAATTAACCCAGTTTCTAGGCTTTTATGGAATAGTAAATTATAAATTGCGCACACAGGCTGGATAGGTATTACATAATGACTGCATTAGCACAATTCACTGAGATATTAAGTAGCCAAGATGCTGATTTAATATCTTTATGAGGTCAACCTCCACATTCAATGTGTTGTACAAATATAGCCAACCACATGTTTTTAACTTTTGTGTTTGCAGAAGCTATTCTTTTGAATTTCCAATAATACAACGATCCAAACTCAAAATAAGTAGGAATTTCCTAACCAGGATAGCTGTTAAGCTCATCTCCTAGAGTTGAAAGTACTGAATTATTAGAGCTTTATGAGCAAAGATTAGACAGCCATTTGTCTGGGATGGTCTTGCCCCTGGCAAGGAGCTGGCCTAGAAGTCCCTCAAGGTCCTTTTCAATCCTACGATTCTATACATGAAATAGTAAAGATACCAAAATTGCAATGTTTAATTATTTCCCAAAATTATTATTGAATAATGACTACATTAAAAGGAGAAGCAGAATACTCCATTTGCTTATGAATATTAGTATCTAGAAAAGGAGGATGGTCAAATACACAGAAATGGTTCCTGTACAGATAGAGCTCAATCTACAGAGTTCCTTTCAAAAAAGATTCACTACATATGCTTTCATAATGCAATAACAATGCTGATTAATTTCTTGTGGACTGGTGTTTATTGTGTGAATATATTGTTCCAGGTGGAGTCACAACATTTGTGGCCCTCTATGATTATGAGTCACGGACAGAATCAGATCTTTCTTTCAAAAAAGGAGAACGCCTCCAAATCCTCAATAACACGTAAGTACTTTTTGTCACTATAAGAACTTTTGTATTTGGTATAGGTGTTGAGCCAGTTTTCTCTACTAAAATGCTACAGTGATTCAAATATAAAGCTTCTCTCTAATATATTATGTAGAAAGCACTTTTTGTAATCTGCAGCATGGGTATTAAAAGGAACTCTAAGCAATTTTCAAGTCCATTGGAATCGGTCATCTTTGAAATAGATCTTGATGAGTTAAATTTTGTTATCCAGCTTAAATTCATCTGGAATTCAGCAACTGAAGAATTTTTTTAAAAATGGTGGACCATCTATATATCATCTGATGCTGCTAAATCAAGGTCCACAACCCCCGGGCCATGGCCGCTGCCTGTTTGAAACTGGGCTGCGCATAGAGAGCTCTACTCGCGCAAGCGGAGGTGCTTGGGTGGAGGGCGCTTGTGCTCACACATGGAGCTCCACTCACGTGAGTGGAGGGCATTCATGCGAATTGGGCTTCACGTGTGAGCACTCTCTGCTTGCACGAGTGGAGCTTCACACGTGAAACTCCCTTGGCCCGAGTGGAGGGCACATGTTCCTGCTACTTGTACCAATGGAGCTATGCGCATGCGTGTGTGTCTGCCACTCATACACACACACACACACACACGCCAGACTGGGCCATCAAGATGAAAGAGTTGGGGACCATTGTGCTAAACTACAACTTTAGTCTTCCCAGTCCAGGATGAGAGATGCTGAGAATTATAATTATGGATGATTTTGAAAGATACAGGTTGTCCACCCCTATTTATGCTAATAGACATTTTAACACAGAAAAACACAGCGTTCTAAGGAGCATTCTGTCTAGACATATTTTTTTAAAATAGCAAATGTAGTCAAAAGAATGGGGCACTACCATATGCAGCTGCTATGCTTCTCCGATTTGGTGTACTATAAAGTGTGAGGAAACTGTCAGGCTCAACACTTTCCAATTAGCAAATTTCTGGGACTTCTGGGACTTATGGTATTTGAATAGGCTGACCTGTTTTATAAAATCACCATAAAGATAGGCAGGATAAAGACTGAAGAGGATGCTGTTCGTTTAAAATTAGTGGTATTACTAATTAATTAGTGGTATTATTTGCCTTTTAATTGAACAGATAGAAAATAACTCTTCAGGGCAGATGTTGGTCCCTCGTTCTGCTTCCTTGCTGTAAATATTTTTCATTCATTACTCCTCTATCTAAACATTTCATCTGCCCTGAAACCTATCTGAATTTCTGCTTGAAGCCTTCCTCCTTTCTTTCTTAAAGTTATTTTGAACAACAAGGGACGTTTATGAAAGTCTGTGGGTTAATTAATTTCCTTTTTTCCCCTCTCTCTTATAAAGAGAGCATTGTAGCAAATGTTATACTTCTCTGTATAAAGTGCTGTGTTGTGGTTCTTTCCACAATGCCCACCTTGAGAGTTACTAGGATTTTAGTTAATAGACAAAACTTATCCAGACTGAATGTTTGGTTTGTTATTGTATGAAGATGATTAATAGCACTGAATAAAGAAAGAATGAAGCTAAAGAATGGGGGAGAACTATGATAGGCAGTGAGATCTCATTTAGTGAATCGCTTTAAGCAAAAATTGGTCAGATATTTAGTGGGAATGCTTTAATCTAGATTAGTATGCTGAATGGAAGACTATTGGATGAAATGGCCTATATGCCCTCCTCCAACTTTACAATTCTGTGATTCTACAATTTTGAAACAGATTTTGTTATACTATGTCAATATAAGAGTCTCCTGAGCTAAGCAGATTTGAATGTCTGTATTCTCCATTTCATAACCACCAAATCAGTTTCACAAAATTCTTTTAACCTTTAGATTCACTATTATTTTGAAACTGCGTAATACTACGTTATCAATGGTTCCTAAAGATGCAACCCTAAGGAGTCCTTTTCAGATCCATTAAGGGAGCCTTAGGGGGATATCAAAATGGAGATTTTGCAAGGCAGGATGAGCTACGGCATTAAATCTAGCTTATGGCCTCTATATTATGGACCAAACACTTAATCTTGCTTACTCCTCACAGGTGATAGATAGGGACCCATAAGTGGGTCTGGCTCTTTCATTGTGGAGACTAACCTGGGTAAGATCTATTTTTCAGCCAGAGGCATAGTAGCCAATGTGGCCATTAGGGAAAAACTTTCATTGAAACACTACAACATGGACTCAGAATCAAAGTCAGTCCTTCTATCAGGTCCAATCAGTAGTGGCAAAGTATTTGGAGAGGCCCTGAATGGTATCTTGAGACTGAGGACTAAAAAGGAGCTTTATCTGTCACCTGCAAAGTTGAGAAATACTCTCAAGTATCGGTTATCAGAAGACTGCTTCAAGGGGAGAGACATGGCCTTCTTACTATATCTAACTCACTATGAGTTAAATATAGATACCAGGATGAGGGAACATGAGACAGGGTTCACTTCCTAAGTTTTGTAGATCACAAAGTTTGGGTGGGGAAAAAAGCAAAAGACAGGATACATTTCCTTGAAGTCTACATGGTATGTCTCACCCAAGAATATTCCAGACTTGTCACCATCCCAACACAGAGTCTCCCAGTGGAGCACCAGACCTTCTAATCAAATCATCCACGTGGATCCCACAACTGTACTCCTAAAGACTAAGTTTGAATACCACATGAATTAGGATATGATATTGAATTCATACAGACCATCTTAGTCAATACTTCTTCCAGCTGAGCATCAGAAGTAGCTCTTAGCCTTAACCACATCATCTAGCCAGACCCCATCAGTAGGAACCTGGACCCAAATTTTATGTCTTTCAACAGGACCAGGAAACAATTGTTTCTTCCTTTGGCTACAAATGCAATATCCAGCTAAAGAAAAAATGACATAAATGGCACATCAAAATCTGCATGAGAAGAGTCTCAGACAGTCTTATAGTATCTGTAAAACAGCCCATCTTGGACTGCAAAGCTTCAACAACTATAGTCTTCAGGGGAATCAAGACCTGAATCAGGCTAGGTTAAGCAATATAGAATAAGCCTATTCCATGGAGAATAGGAAGAAGTACAACCATTTCAATTCTTGGACATAATGCATCTGTAGTGTTGCCAAAGGACCTCTAAGTTGTCCTTTATTAGACAAACACATTGAATTCTTATACCTCAGTTGAAGCATCAGGGAGCAGTCCTCTCCTATTTTGAGATGTCCTGGCTCTACTATAAAAAAAACAATATATTGGACTTAACACAATGATCCACTTGGTACCACAGAGACAGGTCATCCAGCCCAACTACCTCCACATCCGCAAAAGAAAAAAAAGGAAAAATATATAATAAGCCCATCAATATTGCAAATAAACATTGTTTCACTGTCATACTCTCCTACTTTTATGAAATGTTTTTTTTTCTGGATTGTCACTGTGAAATTGGGATGAAGGTGTCTCTTCCTGAAGAAAGCAATTTCAAAACTTTCTAGATTGGCATTGAAAGTGCGTGGGAGGGAGATGCCCACTATAAAATGCCTTGTTTCTACTATAGAAAAGAGAAACGATCAGTCCAATCTATTGTTCTCGCTTTCAATAATGTTCTAAAACTACACTTCTTCTAATCTAAGCTCTGTCTGTTTCTCTTTCATTCTCTTTTATCCTGTTCCTCATGCTTTCATTTAGGCGAAAAGTGGATGTCAGGTGTGTATCTTTTTTTTTTATATTGGGGGGAAAAAAAGTACTAACCAATGTTTTCATATCTGCAGTATGGAAAAAGGATTGAATGTTAAGGGCTGTTTAAGATGCTTGATTCTGTAAATTATGCATAAATCCTAGCCTTTTATTTTTATACGATATTGGTTTTATGAGTTCTTTCTTCTTACATTCCAGCAAACTATGCATTTTTTAAGCACTGTTCCCAATAAGCTTTGGCCTTTGGGTATTCTTATGGTTTCAAATAAGAATTGAGAGAAACCATGAGCATCAACTTAAATATTTTAAGAATGAAAAAACTGGGTCTCACACCACATAAACAAACAGTATTGAATATTCCTCTGCAAGCCAAGGGGTTTAGTATAGTTGTGTATAATTTTTCATATAGTTTAGTGAAAGGAAATACACAAAATTGGATCTGTCAATTTCTAAGTGAATGGATTAATATATTCTAGAATGTTGGTGCATTTGTGTGCATGTACACTTCTAATGTAGCAAGCAGACATTTGCTTCAGTCATGAATGGAAGAAGTTCAACAAAGGTTAAATCCATTCCAAACATTTATACCAAAGATAAAAACCTGATATAGAAATAGATATGGTAATGACATTTCCTCCTTTCGTGTGTTATGTGCGTGTCTGTAAAATAGAGGCTGGGTCTGTCTGGGGTTTTCTATTCTTCCCTCCTATTATGCACAATAAACACCAGAAGAAGTTGAATGTTGTTTTTTCTTCAAGGACAGTTGGCATTTCTGTGATTTTTTTTCTTTGTTCCTCTAGAGATAAAACAGATTCTGCAGTACCCTTTTTGTTGTTGTTGTTGAAACATTTCCTTTTTCTGACATAAGGAAAGACTGCATAAAAATTCCCTACCAGTATCAATTAGTTATTAGAAGCAAAACCACACTCGTTTTTGCTCTGCAAGTGACCTCTATAAATTACAGTTGAAAAATGCAATGCTCACTCGTGCCTCAGTAGTCTGAATGGCGTTTTCCTGACTGCACTGCTAGGCTGTCAGGGACGATTGCAGAAATGGGGACCAAAAACACTCCAGTGAAATGCTTCTAAATTTTACCGTTAGTTATTCAGCTGCCCAGTGGGTGGAGAATGACTAACTTGTCTAGTTTTAAATATGAACAGTTTTTCCCTTTTAAATGATCTAACTCACACACATCTGAATGTGTATATTGTTCAGCAATGTTGGAGCGGGTGGGCTAGAATCTATGGGTTGGGTTTTGAGGTACAGGTAATCTTTGACTTACAGTCGGTCACTTTAACATCTGATCAAAGTTACAATATGACCCAGATTTGAAATTCCAATCACTGCAC